GTTTGTAATCTTATAAACATGAGGTCAAGTTATTTAAATTGGTCCAGAAAAATTATACAAAAAAAAAAAAAACGTACGAGAAAAAATGTTACGAAAAGATAATGAGTACTATGGCAGTTTTAACTTGTTGTTTGAAGTGACTATGTATATATTGGCCAGGTGGTTAGCGCACTCGACTCGCAATCTGAGGGTCGCGGGTTCGAATCCCCGTCCCACCAAACATGTTCGCCCTTTCAGCCGTGGGGGCGTTATAATGTGACGGTCAATTCCACTATTCGTTGGTAAAACAGTAGCCCAAGAGTTGGCGGTGGGTGGTGATGACTCGCTGCCTTCCCTCTAGTCTTACACTGCTAAATTAGGGACGGCTAGCGCAGATAGCCCTCGTGTAGCTTTGCGCGAAATTCAAAAACAAACTATATATATATTTTTTATACACTCAGTAGTTTTCTAACCTGAATGGTAGGTATCTTTTTTTTGATATTAGTGTAAATACAAACTTTTCTCCCTCACTCTCGCTGTTACTAATAACGTGGAGCTGTTGCGATTGTGTTTGTTTAACTCTCCATTTACTGACTTATTAGTTCTCCAATGAGGATGCATTGAGATCTTAGAACATCTGAAGCATGAGAAAGTGTTTCGGCTGTAGTGGTCCTACTTTAAAACCATGTCTGGGTATGAGAAGGATAGCCCTCCATTAGACTTCTAGCCGGGTCTAAATATAGCCCACGAGTCAAAAAGTTAAACTCCCTTTCCCCATAGGGATTTATCAAGACTATGATATTTTCAAAGCTTGTCATATGAAATGTTAAAATCAACTTGTTTGCCAGTTTTAAACTCTAGTATTTATGAGTTAGAAGGCCAAGTTTGTATGGTATCACGATGAGACATTGCTAAACTTTACTGTATATAGAAGTCGTATACAAATAAAAAAAAAAAAGTATCAGGTTTGGTACTAAAATAATGTTACTGAAAAAAACGTTACTTGAACATTATGTGACGTCTCAATGACGTCACTACACCAATTTCATTGTGGATTAAAAAAAATGTTTTTTCAATGGTATTTTCTGATTTGCCAAGGATGAAACTGTTGGACTTTGTTACAGACTGCTATGAGGAAAATGTTTGTTTTTTAAAATAAAGTTATACATTTGTAATTTTAGTTACAGTTATTAGTTTAACGGTTAACTAAATATAATTATAATTACAGTTAATAGAGTGATGACGACCTCGAAACATGTCGACGTAGAAACAACTGAAATAACATAGGGCTGTACATCCCCTTCTCAGTACACTCCTTATGCTAGCTGACTAGCCATAAAAATGTACACAGATAACAATTTACCAGCGTAATCTTGCTGTATCTCCTATATACTACTAGCTAAGTAGATTCTGTACGCTGGAAACAAGTAGGGTTTCTTTTCAGCTTGATTTGTACCAAAAAGTGTTGGTACTTAATGCGTGAAACATACCACAAAACGTACACTGATACCACAAGTACATTTCTCAGGAAAGACAAACTAAAACCATTTAAGAAATAACAGAGGCGTATCGCAACATTCGAACTGTTAGGTAGCATACAGAGTAACAAATCCCCTTTCCGAGAAAACTGGGACAAATTGTATGTTGCTTGTATGGGAAACCATCGTAAATCAATATCGGTAAATTTCAGTATGACGTGGCAGAGTAAAAGTTCAGATCAGGAAGGAGCAGTGGTGGGATTCAAATATTTTAACAACAGGTTCTCTCACTAGCAGCATGCCATATTGACCCGATAGAGACCAAATATTATATGTCAAATATATTTATATTATATGTAATATATACAATTTATATTACTTTTAATCTAGTCTATTTCATAAAAAGCGTTTACTGACACTTATTAGTATGTTTATTTAATTATTTTTTTATATTTTGCTGTATATTTAAGTAACAATCATGATAGAAAATATAAGTTATAAAAGTTTGTACATCTGCTCCCCTTTATCGATAATATTTACTATGTAGTTTATTAGATTTTTAACCATAGTAGGTCTATTATAATAATAACAACAAATTATTACTGATATTACATACATACGATTGTTAACAACCGGTTCGTGGAGGTCATTAAATTCTAAGAACAGGTTCGCGCGAACCGGCTGAATCCCACCACTGGGAAGGAGGTATTTTCTATCAAACTCTGACGACCTGAATTGTATTCATGTATTGAGAACAAACTATCAAATTCCCACGTGAAAAATATGCCTTTTTATCGTATTTAAGTATCCTTGTACTGAAGCGCATGGGTGAGAGTGGATTCTACGAGATGTTGCTTTTTTTGTTTTCCACAAGTCTAACAGATGAGGGCAGCGATGCTGGTGATTTATGGGAACTCGTATGGGAAAAAGAGTTCGATTGATTTATGACAGAAATAACTTCCATATAATCATTTTTAATTACAATAACGTCTCTTTGCAGTAATTATTAAACTGGATGTTTACAAACGTGCTAGTGTTAACGACAAATATAATGATAATATACAACAGCTTGAAATACAAATTTTTTAAATTTCTTTCAATTTCAAGTCTTTTTTTTCTTTCTTTTCTTCTTCTTCTTACTTTGATTTTATTCACACTTATGTTTCAATGTTATATGTCAACAGCTTTTGAATGATACCAAACATGTTGGCATTGAACGATAGGGAATGCGTCTATAAATTTATTTACTTTTTTTTATGTCCGGTAATAGCGTAATGCAGGTCTCCTATCGATGTCAAAACGCTACTGTTTGAAATGGACAAATAAGATTCTCGAACAACACCGTGTCGTAAACTCGGGTCTACTCTAGGCCATAGATTAATAGTAATAGTTGTGCATGTTGTTGTAACACTGTCGGTTCACTTTTTAATCTGCTGCTCGGTTTTAAGCAGTTCTTGTAGCTCTGAGTTTCGAAATATAAAATCAAGGCTATTAAAAACAAGCCCATTCTTCTGTTCGCCAATGAGGATGAGTTAGAAATCCTTTTTAGAAAAAGATGTACAGGAAAACATTTGTAGAGTATTGGTGGGGTAAATAGGGGTGGGTAAGAAATAATGTCTTGAATTGGCGACGGGGACTCCAGGTCGGTTCAATTTGCTTGGCTACCGGGGGGGGGGGGGTAATTGAAGCTGTTAAGTTTCTATTATTAAAATATATGTATGTATATATACACACACATACATAAAGTACAGTAAAACTTGTTTGCACAAGTATTCAATGCTTTTGTAGATGTTTTCGCTAGGTTGTGTAATTTTTTTTTACAATCATCCATCTTTAAAATTAATATAAAAGTAATTCATGAAAGCTTTTTACGTAAACAATAAGTACACGTATTTTGGTGTCATGATAATTTTAATTGGGACTGGCTATAGATTTACATATTTATAGAACTAATATGGTTCGAATTCTTAACGCCGACTTTGTATTTTTGCTTTAAACTTGTCGATATAATGTATTTTAGCCTGCAGGTGTTTGTGTAACAATAAGAAAATGACGTAATTTGTTTGAAGTTTATAATAGCTTGTACAAATGAGGTGGCTCAGATAGTTTGAAATTGTATCTATATCGAGACTCTTAATTGTTTGTTCGTATAAAACATTAATTTATAATAGTTTACTGGCTTTCTTGTAATATTCTAGCTGGTGTAATAAACAACAAATGTTTAGATACATTGAAAACTTGTATAGGCCGTTGTTTTTACCGAAGGACGTACCTGGTGTATTAATATGCGCATATGTTCAAATATTTTATGTATAGTAAGTTGGTTAATTTTCATGCACATCACTCTCTTTGGTAAGCTTTTTTTTTCTTTTTGTAAGCAGTTAGCTATAGCTTGTCGTTATATCTATGTCACTTACGATATTGTTTCCTTGTTTTATCTTACCTTTGATAACTTTCAAACTGTAAACACTTTGACACTGTTGTATGAACGTAGCAACAACTTCGTGTGTTTTTGCTTGTTTTTTTTATTATCTTTATAACCCTAAAGAGTAGTCGTTTCACTGTTAAGATGTCTAGTGTACTGAAGTGTGGTGAGATATTCATGTATATGAATGTGGAGTTTCATACAGAATAAAGAAAAATGGAATGTATATTATCTGAAAAGAAAGGTTATATTATAAGCTGAGGTGAACCTTAGTTCTTTACTCATACTACTAAATTGTCACTTCGTAAAGTTTCCACTATTTTGTGTTTTTGCAAAGGCAAACCCGATTATGAACTTATACTTCTATGTGTTCAAGTGTGTTATTCGGATTCGTTACAACATGCTTATACCAGATCTGTTACAACATGCTTATACCAGATCTGTTGCAACATGCTTATACCAGATCTGTTAGAACATGATTATACCAGATCTGTTAGAACAGAGTTATACCATATTTGTTGAACATGGTTATACCAGATTTGTTAGAACATGATTATACCAGATCTGTTAGAACATGATTATACCAGATCTGTTAGAACATGATTATACCAGATCTGTTAGAACATGATTATACCAGATCTGTTAGAACAGTTATACCAGATTTGTTAGAACATGATTATACCAGATTTGTAAGAACATGCTTATACCAGATTTGTTAGAACATGGTTATACCAGATCTGTTACAACATGCTTATACCAGATCTGTTACAACATGCTTATACCAGATCTGTTACAACATGCTTATACCAGATCTGTTACAACATGCTTATACCAGATCTGTTAGAACATGATTATACCAGATCTGTTACAACATGCTTATACCAGATCTGTTAGAACATGCTTATACCAGATCTGTTAGAACATGATTATACCAGATCTGTTAGAACATGATTATACCAGATCTGTTAGAACATGATTATACCAGATCTGTTAGAACAGAGTTATACCAGATTTGTTAGAACATGATTATACCAGATTTGTTAGAACATGATTATACCAGATCTGTTAGAACATGATTATACCAGATCTGTTAGAACATGATTATACCAGATCTGTTAGAACATGGTTATACCAGATCTGTTAGAACAGAGTTATACCAGATTTGTTGAACATGGTTATACCAGATTTGTTAGAACATGATTATACCAGATCTGTTAGAACAGAGGTTATACCAGATTTGTTAGAACATGATTATACCAGATTTGTTAGAACAGAGTTATACCAGATTTGTTAGAACAGAGTTATACCAGATTTGTTAGAACAGAGTTATACCAGATTTGTTAGAACCTGATTATACCAGATTTGTTAGAACAGAGTTATACCAGATTTGTTAGAACATGATTATACCAGAGTTATAGTTCTAGAGGTTTAACCAAAGTACACCAAATATATATTATTCAGAAAGTGAGTCGATTAACCTTATGTATATCTAAGGTCAAAACAGTAGTTCTAATACTTTGTCGTATTTTGCTCAACAAACGCCATTACAGATTTTATGTTTTTATTTTATTTAACCGATGTCATCGTTAAGAATCATCCTTTAAACCCATAGCTATGTGTAGTGTGTTTTAACATTACATATCAAATTTTATCTAAGACTTGGTGGTGGCGTACGATATTATATGGTGAAATTATGTTAAGTTTTTCAGTTGTCTATACGATCACCTAAACCTAATTATAAATGACTTGCTCTTTTTTTTGTTATTGCTAGATATTAATTAGTAACAAGTATTTAATCTGTCTTTCGGTTGCTAATCTACTGCCTTTTTTAGGGCAGTCTGTGTGTGAGGTAGTAGTGATGGGATTCGATCCTGGGTTTTCTTGATAAAAAGGCTGGTTTGTTATCCACTAGTGCAGGGTCTCCTCCATTAGATCTTCTATTAATCAACTTACTGCCACAGTCTTGCGTAAGTACTTAGTGACCTATGTAAATATTTAATAAAAAGTTAAGACCCCCAGAGTGTGTGTCAGAACACACACACACATATATCATTTTCGAAGTCATGAGCTTCGATCAACTTATGAAGTTAAACATTTCAGTTAACTTTGACCTTTGTAAAGGTGTACAAATAGTAAAGTAGTGTAGAGACGCTTTATATAGTGTAACAGTGTAGTTTCCTGTGATTTTAAGGCTTAAATGCAGTTTTATATATAACTACTCGTAGAAGTGGTTAAATTGAAGAGTTATTGAAAAAGTTATTTGTTTGAAAAATTGCAACATTTCGAAAGAGAGTTCTACAAGAATAATTTTGAGACATGTACGTGGCAGAATACACTTAATAACGAACTGTGACTAGTCAGCTTGGCGAGGAAAGTAGTTTGGTGTGCACTATTAAACGCTTGTGCTACAAAAAAGAAAAGAAAAAACGTGCCTTCTTGTGATCCTCGCTAGAGGAGGAAAAGCGAAATGAGGCCAGTTTTTGCCATACGTTTTACAACTTGTAAAGCTTTGGTGTTAATTTTGTGCATTTTGTAAAATAAAACGAAATGCAAGTGGTGATATCCATCTGTTACGTCGTCAAGATCTAAAGTAATGTTGGATAGTATAAATATAAACACTCGGTAAAATATTGCGACAGTGTTATACACCATTGGCGCCATTGTAGAGTACCTGTGTTGCATTCATAATCCCTAGTGTTTAATCACGAACGGGGGTGGGGGTGGAAGGATATCTTCTGGCGTTACTCCTTAATTCTGTGCTCTTGGCAACCAGCCAAATAGCTTTGATGACGTCAGTATCGTGGTGGTACATTGGCCTTGTATGTGTACTTGTGGTGGTGGTGGTGGTGGGTGAGTTTCTATCTGTGCTTGCGCGCATTTTGCATTTTTGAATCCTCCTATGTAGACAGGTCTGTTTTTTTTAGACCCCTGATAATCTCGTCGTCGGTGTGCTAGGTCACTGGATCAGTAAATCTGCTGCCAGTGCTACGTTTATATATTAGGCTTATTTCGTGTTTTATACACGAACGTAGGATGGTTTGTTCGTAAAAGTGAAAGGTTCGGTGTTCATGCAGAAGTTATTCTCTCACTCATTTCGGTAGAAAACACGATGGGAGATTATGATTATGTATGTTCTTTTGGAGTTCACGCGGTACGTAAAGACGAGTTATTGTTTTCTCGTTACTAACCCCGCCATCGTTTAATTCCGTAGGCAGTATTTTTTTTTTAGTTGCACCAGTGAAGAAGAACATAGCGCTGGGTATAACAGTGTTTCTCGCTGACATGTATAAACCCTCAGTCGAATGGAATCCCTCAATCGTAAGTTACGAAGACTACACTGAATATGTGACGTGATAAGACGTATGTATCTTTGTTTATTTAGCCTATTTGATAAATTAATACTATCTGGAATAACCGAGAGATATTTCACGTTAGTATTCTTGCGACAAAAGCTACGTCATTAGACTGGCAGTTGGTACTAACAATATATATATATTTATATGTGTGCGTGTATGTATATCTTTATAATTCTCTGAAAGATGTTAAGAACACCAAGAGCTAGTTTTGTGTTTTTGTGATGAAAGATGTGTGCCCATATTTGTATGATCATATTACAGATAAGTGGGAGATTAGACTGACAAAAATATCATATATATATATTTATATGTGTGCGTGTATTTATGTACATCTTTATAATACTCAGGAAGATGTTAAGAACACCAAGAGCTAGTTTTGTGTTTTTGTGATGAAAGATGTGTGCCCATATTTATATGATCATATTACAGATAAGTGGGAGATGAGACTGACATAAATATTGTTTTTAAGAAACCCCAGAAATAACTTTTTAAGCAGTCCACAAAAGGTTAACCAAAACAGTAATGGTGTAAAAACTGAATTTAAACAAAACTGTGACTATTAATTTTGACGCATTTAAAAGTCAATTATTTATTCGTCAATAGTTAATTTTGGAATACTATTAAAGTATGTGGTGAAACCTACTTTACAGGGGGCGCTTTATTTTAGTTGTTAAAAAAAAAAGAAAAAAAAAGAGGGGTCTACCATGGGGTGAGAGAGCGTATCCCCACAGTTGTCTGATTACTGTTTGAATCCTTTTGTAGCGAGAGTGGAGTGTGAACTTTGCTTCTTCATCAGTATATTTAAAACATTCACCATGAAGATCGCCTATGGTGCATCTAAAAATAGTTGGGGTCGAAGGTAAACATAAATGTTTATTACTTGGATTGATAACTCAATAAGACAAACTCGTACAAAAAATTATAGGAGATTTCCCAGTCCTCCTTCCAAGTAGCCCCTCCAGTGGCACCGCTGTGTGTCTGAGGATATACAACCCTAGAAACCGGGTTTCGATACCCGTGGTGGGCAGAGCAGAGATAGCCCATTGTGTGTAGCTTTGTGCTTAACTACAACCAACCAACCAAGCAATCTTCCAAATAACCTCAGATGTTTTCTATTGATACAACTTTTTTTTTTAACTAAGTGGTCGAATGTGACTGGATTTATTCACGTTTACAAAGTTAATTTTGTTTTATCAAAACAAGAGAAGGACGCGTAAAATGATGAGGGCAGTGTTTGTTTCCAGATCATAATCGTCTGTTAATATCGCGATGACAAGTAAGAGACAGGGTGATCCACAGTAATATAATCGTCCATATACAGAGTTCTTGTGATATGTTCAATAACTTCCGTTGTTCCATTCCTTTTAAAACTAATTTCAATCGTTTTCTACTGTTATGATTTATGTATTTATTTACTGCATTTGGTATAATGTGTTACCTTAACATTCTTAAAGATGGTAATTTTTTGAGCGCATGACTCACAACTGATCTGCATTGAATCGTGTGTATAGTTAAAATATCATTAGCAGTATAGTTTAAAATTGGGGGAAAAGTTGAAAATATGTGCAAAGCTCTGTAGTGTCATTAATAACTGTTAAGACTTACATCATGAAAAACGGAATAGTGTCAGGATGGTATAAGGCGATAAAGGGAGGCTTGCCAGGGCTGAAGTTACCCCAAAATGTATTTTTGGCTCTCCTGTAATTCCTGTAACCAATTAACAATGCTTGTTGTTAAAGCTGGTTCAATTTCTAAATATGGATGTTTGTGTGCCCATAAGATGTAGAATACAACCCCTCATTTGTTTATCTAGCCACCCTCCTGGGGGGAGGGGGCTCAGCAGTAAGTCGGTTGACAGACCTCATTTATCATATTGTATAGCTTTGAGCTTTACATTTAAAAATTCCTTTGGACATTGGTTTAGAAAGCGATTTGCAAGTTTTCAAAATTTCAGCCGGTTGAGGCCAATATTTAATTAGGCGCTTGATAAGCTTTTCACAGGTCGACGTGTCTTCTTTTCAGGTTTTTAGTTTGTCCCATACATTTTCTCTACGGTTTTAATCTGGTGACTTCCCAGGCTAACCCAGCACATTTATACATTTGTCTTGGAAAAAAAAATCTTTTCGCCACCTTTTGAGGTGTTTGCAGAGAGTCAAACCACACAGAGGAAACGGTGGTCAGTTTTTCCTCAGTAATAAGTGTATACTTGTCGATGTTCGTTATACCACTAACGAAGGAATCTTTATCTGGTCCACAGTTTTTTTGTTTTTTTTGTGGGTGATTTCTAGACTTTCATTTTCCTTGTTTATGCTAATCAAATCCCAGAAGCTTCCAAGAGGAACTCATGACTGAATATCACCTAAAAAGAGCTTCAACTGAAGGAATAGGTCATTAAAAAATGAGTCACATACGTTATTTTTAATGACCATAGTCGCTCACATTATGAAACGTTATGTGTATGTCTTTAAAGTAGCATGTCGATCCTCTACTTTTCTTTAGAGAGGAGGCCTGGCATGGCCAGGTGGTTAGGGCACTCGACTCGCAATCTG